GCGAGAGCGAAGTGCTATAAGGATATTAAGATAAGATGGGGCCTGATTATTCAAGACTTGAATAATGTGAGGAGCAGGATTTTGAATTCAAAATAAGACTGTAAATTTTGTATTATGTCTTTCTACGCACCAAAGTTTCTCTCCTCTGTCCTGTTGGATCCAGGTATGGCAGCCAGAGATGTCGCTCAGGCTCTAAAGTCACTAGCTTCGGCTGCCAGAGGAGTTGCTGCTACCACAGATGACTCAGCAGCACGTAGTGCCATACTGGACTGTGCTGGGGATGTCATGGACAAGTCATCCAACCTTATTGAAGAGACCAAGAGGGCCATTGCTAAACCAGGAGATGCAGAGAGTCAGCAGAGATTGGCCCAGGTTAGAGCCAGACTGAGAGATTACAAATGCTTTTGTTTGGTACCTACAGTAGTTTATTTCTGAATAAAGCACATGTGGCATCTTTTGTTGTGATTTGGTGTTTATATGTCTTTCATATAATAATGACAATCATCATGTGCATGTGTTTCTGTGTGAAGGTGGCTAAGGCGGTTTCCCAGGCCTTGAACAGATGTGTGAATTGCCTTCCTGGCCAGAGGGATGTAGACAATGCCATCCGCACTGTGGGCGAAGCTAGCAAGTCTCTCCTGGCTGATTCTGTTAGTACAAAATTAACAATTTTTAATAAATGTAGATTGTAGTTACTGATAAAAAGATCTCAGGTGAATAGTATTTCACCCTGAAGCTATTCTATTATTCAATCAAGTTCTATCACCTACTGTTTTTCATAATTTTCCTGATCTCTCTTTTTTCTCTTCTTTTTTTTTTTTTTTTTTTTACCTGTGAAACACAGTTGCACAGCAAAACTAGTCTTTCTTCTCCAAAATTGTACATATCAGGAACCCTGGAAGACAGTCTTTGGAGACAAGTTAATTGTGGATGCTTGAGGATGAAAACATAATTTATGAGTCAGGCCTAGTTGCTTACAGTTATAACCAAAGTTATAACCAGTTGTAGCCAATATTCTTTTCAATATTGCTACTTGCAGTATTAGAATTTTTTTCTTCCCAACATAGTTCCCGTCTAGTGGAAAGAGCTTCCAGGAGGTTCAAGCTCATCTCAACGAGGTTGCAGCTGGTCTAAATCAATCAGCCAATGAAGTGGTCCAGTCATCCAGAGGAACTACCCAGGACCTGGCCAGGGCCACTAGCAAATTTGGACAGGAATTTAGCAACTTCCTAGAGGCTGGTGTTGACATGGCTGGAACATCTCAGGTCAGTTTGAATGAGTTACCACCAGGCAAACTGTGGTCCAATTTTTTAAACATGTATTTATGAGTTTTATATCGTCAAAAATGTACTGCCCTTTGTATCGTTGTGGTGTACCACACAAAGAGCAGACACAGGTTAATATTCCAAGAAGCTGGGTCATCATGACACATGATTTAGGTGAAAAAATATTAACTGCAAAAGCCGTAGAGTTTTCAGTGTCTTCACACTTCTTCCTTTCCTCTAGTCTAAGGAGGACCAGACCCAGGTGGTGTCTAACCTGAAGACAATCTCAATGTCATCAAGCAAGCTGCTTTTAGCAGCTAAAGCTCTTTCCACTGATCCTAGCTCCCCCAACCTCAAGAACCAGCTGGCAGCAGCTGCCCGGTAAAACCCCCCCACAAAAAAATCCCCAGACCAAAATAAAAAAAATCAATTTTCTGCAGCTTTGGTTTTAACCACTTATCTGTCTTATCATTTGTCTTTGCAGGGCTGTTACAGACACTATTAACCAGCTCATCACCATGTGCACTCAGCAGGCTCCAGGTCAGAAGGAGTGTGATAATGCTCTCAGAGAGCTTGAGGTAACAGCCACCATCAAACAGTTTCTCTTTTTCATCTTTTCTTTAGCTTCCCATGTCCCAGATGCATCATAAAAATCTCTAAAAATATTTAATAATAATAATAAAGAAAACCATAAACAATCAATACATTTCAGTCATATAGAGGTTGTGTGACACTCAGCTGAGTTGTACAGTTTAACAGTGTGAGTTTGTCAGGAATGTATGCTGTTTGTGTGCAGTCAGTGAAGGGGATGCTGGAGAACCCGACAGAAGCAATCAGTGAGCTGTCATACTTTGACTGCATTGACAGTGTCATGGAGAACTCCAAGGTACTGTAGATTACACATCCTTAATGCCTTTCTTTTATGGTTTTAGTTCTATTTTTTTAGGATTTTCAACATTGGGAGTTCCTGTCTAATTTGGACATGGTAATTGACTGGAAACAGTCAATTACTGTTACGGGCTGTTACGGGCTGTTTCTCCCACAGAAAAAAAGAGGACGTGATTCTATCAGATCACATATTCTTGGTCTTATTGCATCAGTTTAGACAATGTCATCAGAATCAGAATGCTTTATTAATCCCTAAGGAAATTATGTACATGTACATTATGCCAATGAAAGTGTCATGTTTTTTGTTTTGTTTTTTGCTGTGAGCTCCATCGGTTAGAGAGTAACTAAAAGCAAATTTCTTGGTAATGATAAAAGATGAAATAAACAACATAATGAGCCAAAGCAAACATGTGATACAAGTTTTAATTTCTTCTTGTTTTTCGACACCTTAAACTATTTAAGTATTTAAGCAATTTGTTTCGTCGGCAACAAAGTACAAAGCTTTGATGTAGACTATAATGTTATGGTTCAGTCAGTGCTTTGTCAGTGCTTTTGCTTTACTCAATATCATCATTAAATGTGTGATGCTCCACTCTTTGATTTCTGATTCTCTTGTTATTTGTCAATAGGTCCTCGGTGAGTCCATGGCTGGTATTTCTCATAATGCCAAAAACTCCAACCTGCCAGAGTTTGGTGACTCAGTCAGTACTGGCTCCAGAGCTCTTTGTGGTCTCACTGAAGCAGCTGCACAGGTAAAATCCATACTGTAGATTACTGTATTATTGCCTTAAGACAGCAGCTCAGAGGCAAGTAAAGTATGCTGGTAACATGTCTATTTTGGCTTGCTACACACTAGAAGTATTTACATACTGCTGACTGCGGTCGTGAGGTCTCAGAATCTGCTCTTTGAGCAAAAGAATGACAAGACCACGGAACCGAAGGTTAATAACATCATGGAGAAACTCGCGGTTCTCCAACGGTAGATTGAGAGACCAGTGTCGGAGTGTTAAAGAACAGCTTGAAATTCTCATGAGTTGTTGCAAAAGAAAAATTACCATCATAATCCGGCTACCCCGAACAAAAACTCCCTGATAACGACTGTGTTGAGTCTGTTCCTTCCCATTCCCTACAAGGCCACCTGGGTTGGCTGGAAGACTGTTTACTTAGCCTGGCAGGGCGAAGGACACTGTCTCAGCTGAACTATGGACACGCACACACATACATATACTGATACTGATAAGCACTCACCGACGCATCACCCTCCCTACCCCGGATCCAACGCCACCTCCAACACTTACCTCCCCTCTGATGTGGACAACGGGTCAGCTGGAGGCGCAGTCGAAGATTGCAGCGGTCCCAGATCAGATGTACACACTGGAACACTTTCCCATGTTGCTCGTCTGTGTTTATTGTGCTATGGTGTGTTGATTTCTGTGCATTCCTGTATTATCCTTCTGTGTTACACATTTCGATGTTTTTTTTCCTCGCTACCTAGCCTGACCTGTCTCCCCAATGTGATGTTTGTGTATTGTATGTACGGTCGGCAAGGTCTGTCATTTCGGTTGTGGGCAAAAGACCTGCAACTGACAAATAAAGGCTATCTCATCTCATCATCATCTCATACAATGAACTTATAGGTGATTTTATGTCTCTAGGCTGCCTATTTACTGGGTGTATCAGACCCCAACAGCACAGCAGGTCAGAAGGGCCTGGTAGACCCTGCTCAGTTTGCACGAGCTAATCAGTCTATTCAGATGGCCTGTCAGAACCTGGTGGACCCAGCTTGTACTCAATCCCAGGTAAATGCTTGCCTCACTGCAAGTAATTGTCAGTTTTATCGGATTTCTTTGACTGATTATTGAGTCTGAATGTGATGACCATTACTCTCCCCATGCAGGTGCTCTCAGCAGCAACCATAGTGGCCAAGCACACCTCTGCGCTCTGTAATGCCTGCAGATTGGCCTCCTCTAAAACTCCTAACCCTATTGCCAAGAGGCAGTTTGTCCAGTCAGCCAAAGAAGTGGCCAACACCACTGCCAACTTGGTCAAATCCATAAAGGTTTGTAATAAAAGCCATTTCAAACACACATCAGTGTCATTCATACACACACACCCACAGCTTGAGTAAAAAGGTTAATTATGATGTAGTGACAAGTATTAATTTACAAACTGAACTACAGTTAATTATATTTAACTATCATTTAAGAATAGGATTTTCAAAAAATGTAAGAAAAGTAATAAAAACATGTAAGAAATGTCTTTACTTTTAGTTCTTGTCAAACTGGTCAGACATATTAGGGTTGTCGAACATATGTAAACTGAGACATGTCTTCTGGCCTTTAATCCAGTATATATCTGAAAGTGTGTAAAAATGGAACAGTCAAATTCACGTTTTCTATAATAAAAGAAAACTAATAAAACTCATAAAAAAGGATTAAACAAGAGCTCATTAGCTCACTTTTGACAGCTGTATTATTTAAACCTCTTCTTCCTTGCTACATTACACCTCTCTGGGAGGTAAACAGCTAGTGTTCTAGAACTAAATAGTGGTGAAAAATCCTTATGGAAGTCATGTCTGTGTCCCCTGCATAGGCTTTGGATGGAGCCTTTAACCAGGCGAACAGAGAAAAGTGTAAAGCTGCCACTGGCCCTCTAATAGAAGCTGTGGACAACCTGACTGCTTTTGCCTCCAATCCTGAATTCGCCAGCATTCCTGCTCAGATCAGCCCTGAGGTATTTCCAAGAGCTGCCATTACAGCATTGCTACGACACTAATGTGCCCTGTCATATCATTACAAGTTACAGAATCTAACATCAGGAGATTTTCATATTCTCAGATAGATCCTTATTTGTTATTCTCTGGTTCAGGGTCTTGCAGCTATGGAGCCCATTGTGGCAGCAGCTAAGACAATGCTGGAAAGCTCCACTGGCCTGATCCAGACTGCCCGTTCTTTGGCTGTCAACCCCAAAGACCCGCCCAAGTGGTCCGTGCTTGCTGGACACTCCAGAACTGTGTCTGACTCCATCAAGAAACTCATCACCAACATGAGGTAGACTCTGCTCTGCACACTGGCCTCTTCCTCTACTACTACTGTCTGGGCTCCCTCTCAACCATCACACCTAGAAAACAGTGTAACAGTATATTATGTAAATGACCATGCATAATATAAATAATGCATAGATTTACACAATATTTTGTGTTATTTTGTAATGATCACAAAATTATTATTGGCCATTAAGTCTTGCATCATTTTTATGAGTAACGTGTTATTTAACCCAAACTTTGGAATAGTTTTGTATCAGACTTTTGAATGACATATATAACATATAAGGGGGGTTGTTTAGTTTATTATAATTATTATAATAATAACTGTATAGCACTTAACACAGAGTTAAAAAGTGCTTCACAGTTCAAATAAAAGCCACACAAACATACAGACACATAATCAGCTACACCGGCAGGCATTCACTCCAACATAGACACATACAGTCAAATAGTTGCAAACTATGGCCAAAAATGAAAGGGAAAAGATGAAGGGAACACTGACCTGGAATGAAAATTAAAATAATCTAAAAAGAAAACGAAAAAAAAAGCCCAAACAAGTCAAAATGTAAAAAACTATAAAAGTAAGAATTGGTTCTCTGCTTAGATTTAGTCAAGCAGGTTATAAGAGTGTGTAGTAATTACACCCTTCATCTCATGTGTGCAGAGAAAAAGCTCCTGGCCAGAGAGAATGTGATGATGCTATTGAAGCACTAAATGGCTGCATCCGTGAAGTTGATCAGGCCTCTCTGGCAGCCATAAGCCAGCACCTAACACCACGAGAGGACATCTCAATGGAGGTAAACATGCACACTCCACTATTAGTTTTTCACTGACTCTGTATGAATGCAGCAAGAAAATTGAATTGCTGTATCCTATACAAAATAAAAGCATTACACTCGATTGTTTGTTGTTTATTCTACGTTGAATATATATGTGTGTGTCTATATGTATCTAATTTCACCTACTAAACCCCTGAAAAATCATGGTATGGATGTTACAGCCCCCACAGAATATTTCTTCGTGCCAATCCCCTGAACAGCCTGTGCATTGGTCCATGCTAGTTAGAATGACCATTTTACAACAAGGAAAGTGAAAAGTTATTGTGAGGAAACACAAAAGTGTTTTGAGGGACAAACGGTTCAGGAAGCCACTGTGATGTAGTGTAGTTCAGCATGCATTGTTCCTTGACCTGATGTGTAATAAGTCTGTTGGTAGACATAGTAAATGAAGCTGAATTTGGGGCTAATTTAAAGTATCTGAGTTTGACTGACAGTTAATATGTGTATGTTTTAGACTCTCCATGAGCAGATGGCTGCCTCAGTCCATGAGATTAGTAACTTGATTGATCCCGTGGCTGTAGCTGCTCGATCTGAGGCCTCCCAGTTGGGACACAAGGTAAACCTTAAGACAGCAACTTTTTACAGGCAACACAATTTGGACGATGTGATGGTCCAGCTACAGGCTGAAGTCTGACATGTTCCTTTTATTTTGGAATCAGTTTTGTACTTAAATAAAATTATTTGTTGCCCACACATTTCAACAGGTCTCTCAGATGGCCAGTTACTTTGAGCCCCTGATCATGGGAGCCATTGGCACAGCATCCAAGATTCTCAATAGTCAACAACAGATGGCTGTTTTAGACCAAACCAAAACCCTGACTGAGTCGGCCCTGCAGATGCTCTACACTGCTAAGGAGGCTGGAGGCAATCCCAAGGTAATGAAAGTTGAAATATAATGTCTTCTGGATATGTGTACTTGATTGTACTCTATGTGATTAAGTACCACTGAACACACTGAGCATTTTTGCACTGCTCACACCAATGTGCTTCCTTTATCTAGGCAGCCCACATGCACGAGGCCTTGGAGGAGTCCGTGCAGATGATGAAAGAAGCAGTAGATGACTTGGGTGCCACACTGTCTGAAGCAGCCAGTGCAGCTGGTGCAGTAGGTGGTATGGTGGACTCCATCAATGATTCCATCAATAAAATGGAAGATACACCAGTGCAAGAACCTGAAGGCACCTTTGTGGACTACCAGACTACCATGGTTAAGACAGCCAAGGCCATCGCTGTGACTGTGCAAGAGATGGTAAAATATTATGATAATAATGCATGGGGGATAGTTTTTGGTTTGTTGTTAGTCATTAATTTTTCCATTTAAAAGTTGAGTTCAGTTAGAAATTCTAAATGAATAAAGCATGCTCCCTCTTAGTGAGGATTGAGCATGAAAAAGTACCATATTAGGAGACAGCTGTGGGATTTCGTGTTATTGCCACTAAACAGTTATGAATGGAATAAAACAAATCACACCACAAAGGCTGTCATATGCAAAAACAGCAAGAGTATCGATTGAACATTACTATTACTGCATCCTTTCAGTGGTTCAGGCTCTAAAATCTGGTAATTAGTATTTTGGCAGAACCTAAGCTGGGTACTCCTCCAGTTTTTACTCCTCAGCTGTAAAAGACTGATGGGGTATTGTCATCACACCACCGGGTAGGTGGGTGAGCAGCGTGGACACGCTGTAAATGCAAAAAACTAGAGAACAAGGTGATGTAGGAGTTTCAAAATGATAACACAGGTGGCTCTACTAAAAAATCCTGACACAAGTCAGGAAAACTAAATGGAACCAACAAAACTGGAACGCATAGGCTGTAAACAGAGGTCAGGCACACAGGTAACAAAGACACAGTACCACCCTAGGCGTAGGGTAGATTTACATGCAAGCCTTGGGACAACCTCACATTTCACCAATAGAATCAGACTTCTACCAGATAGATGTATGTTATTGAAAAATGTATCTTTTTTCTGCAACCGTAATATTATTTCTGTTACTTATCATTCTTTTCTTGCACTTTAATAGCATTCATTGTGATAAGGATATTATGAAGACAAAAACGCATACAAAGCCATGTGCAAACACACATAATTTCCACAAAAGCCTCTTGATTTCTTTATTATTGACACACTCATTAAATGATCGTATGAAACTCATATTAGTAAATTTGCATCAATACTTAATTCATGTTGACACATGTGTGGAACAAACTCGGTAACTAGCATCCTCTTATTTGTCTTCAGGTGACCAAGTCTAACACCAACCCAGATGACCTTGGAGGATTAGCTAACGAGCTGACCAATGAGTTTGGAAATCTTGCGAACGAAGCCAAATATGCAGCCGTTACTGCAGAGAATCATGAAGTAAATCAAACTAATGTGTCTAATGTGTGGAGTGTCTATACTTGGAAAGTGTCCTTTCCACAGTTTTCATGTTGTCATGTCTTTGTTTCCAGATTGGTTCTCATATTAAGAAGCAGGTGGGTGAGTTGGGTTTCACCTGCACAAGTCTGGTGACAAAAGCTGGAGCTCTTCAGTGCAGCCCTAATGACACCTTTACTAAGAAAGAGCTGATTGAAAGCGCACGGAAAGTCTCTGAGAAGGTCAGAACACAAGCTAACACATAACTTGTCTTTTGAATTCTTTTTTGGTCAGTTTGTCTTTATTAGATCAGCAGTGAAAAAAATTAGACATTTTCTCCTACTCTGAGCCTTCATGTGGTTTTTATTCTTAGTTTACCTTTCCATTTATAAAACTTATAAGACTTATTAATTTTCTTGCAGGTCTCCCATGTGTTAGCATCTCTGCAGGCAGGTAACCGTGGCACCCAGGCCTGCATCACTGCTGCCAGTGCAGTGTCTGGAATTATTGCAGACCTTGACACCACCATTATGTTTGCAACTGCTGGAACTTTGAACCGTGAAAATGCAGAAACCTTTGCTGACCACAGGTACTAATTAGAGACCCTCTGTAGGCTATATTACAGATGATTTGTTGATTTGACAAGTTGATTTGCAGTCTAGTGTCATGATATGATCAGGCTTTGTGAACATCAGCAATGCATTTTAAACATGCAAACATCTTATTCTGGCTTCAGAAACCAGCAAATTACCTTAGCCTTATTTTGAGAAAGTAAAAACTACACCTAGAGTAAGTAAGTAGTAGTGGAAGGAACTAGGGCCCTGTTCAAGGAATCATGTTTAGTGAAAATTCTCAATTTGTAAACCCCGGAATGATGGTTTCTGTACCAGAAAGAAAGATAAGGTCATTTTTGAGTCGAAGTCATATAATGTTCATCTTTGCTATGCTGTTTTTACAGGGAATGCATCCTAAAGACAGCCAAGGCTCTGGTGGAGGACACCAAGTTGCTGGTGGCTGGTGCTGGGGCCAGTCAGGAAAGGCTGGCCCAGGCGGCCCAGTCCTCAGTGTCCACCATTACCAAACTGGCAGATGTGGTAAAACTGGGGGCAGCCAGCTTGGGTTCCGAAGACCCAGAGACCCAGGTATGGATGCATTTTTGTCTGCTTCTATACTGGCAAATATGTATGTTTGCTTCTTATGAAAAGGTACAGTTCTTAGCAAATATATTAGACCACCTGCCATAAAAACAAGAAAAGTATTTTAGAAATCTGTCAAAAACTTGCTTAAAACTAAGGATTGTATTGTTATTCATTAGGAAAATAGTAAAGTGAATTTTTTTATGGCCAAATTTGAGCCAGCGTACTGACTTCTCTGAGAAGTCAGAAGTTAATCAAACATTTAACAACTAAAACTAATTTTGCTGTTTAGGAATACAAATAAATAGCTGTAATTTGGCTTCTTAATGAGAAAAAGGAATGTTTTTAAAGAGCTTGTGCATCCTAGTAGATGAACCATTATGGAAACAAAAATAATTATTGTAATTACCAATACTGTTAATTTAAGGCAGCTAGGGCATAAACCTTACATTGGGTGGTGATCAAATAATTTGTTAAGCACTGTATCAGATAACAATTTAAGCTCTGTGCCCTGCTGAGTACAGGTGGTGTTGATCAATGCAGTGAAAGATGTGGCCAAAGCCCTAGGAAACCTCATCAGCGCCACAAAGGCAGCTGCAGGCAAGCCTCACGATGACCCCAGCATGCTGCAGCTTAAAAATTCTGCTAAGGTAAGATACAAAACTAGCAATCAGTTCAAGTCAGTTTTATTTGCTGACACTTTACAACAGATAGATAGACACCTTGACTTTTACGTGGTTGTAATTTTTAACATTTGAACAATTTTTTAACAGCTTGAACATTTCATTTAGATGGTAAATGGCCTGCATTTGTATAGCGCTTTTCTAGTCCTTAAGGAACCCAAAGCGCTTTACACTGCATTCAGTCATTCATCCATTCACACACTGGCGATGGCAAGCTACATTGTAGCGCACTGACAGAGGCGAGGCTGCCGGACACAGGCGCCACCGCCTGACCACCACCAGCAAATATGGGCTTGCCCAAGGATATTTGGCATGCAGCCAGGAGGCAGTCTGGGATCGAACCACCGACCTTCTGATTAGTGATGATTAGCTCTGCCACCTGAGCTACAGCCACCCAAAGTGTACTTTATTGATCCCCGTCGGGAAATTCCTCTCTGCATTTAACCCATTCACTCAGTGAAGCAGTGGGCAGCCATTGGGCGCCCGGGGAGTAGTGTGTAGGGATGGTACCTTACTCAGGGGTACCTCAGAGTAGCTGTTCAGGAGAATCGAACCCCCGACCTTCCGATCATGGCCACCACTCTACCTACTGAGCTAACCCTGCCCTAATTAGCTGACCTATTTAGCTACCTCCTATACTTTACAAGAAGTAGTTACAAGGGCTTGACACCATTTGAAAAAATAAGGCAACTTGAAATTGCCTTATAATGTGCAGGTCTGTGGTATAAAGGCTACATGGCTACATTAAATCTGCTAAAAGTATACAAAAAATAGCTGATTCTGAAAGGATCTGGTGGGAAGCACTTAGCGATTTTACACTGAATGACCAAAAGTTTTTACAAATGTGCAGTTCTATCTGTGCTTTGACAGATTTGTAATGTTTTATTTTTCAGGAAATTATATTTATCATTGTCCACACATGAAATTATGGTGTAAAGCTACTGTTTCCCACATATTTATTGGCAAGCAAGTCATTGATTTTTTTTTTTTACAATGTGAGAAAATATTCAAATGAACTAGAGTAATAGATGTTATATCTGAGTTTATGCTTCTAAGGACTTCAAAACATTCAGGATCTAAATACATGTCCAGATGCTGATATTGAACAGGTAGTGAAACACACAGATACATTTTGTTTTGGTTTAAGTTTTATAAAAGCACACAAAAAAATAAAATTAATGCTAGATCCTGAAAAAACATGAACAAACTTTTAAAAACAATTTTATGTGTACATGCAGTTTTATTCTAATCTAATTGCATGGAACCAAGATTGGAAAATCGAAGTATTAAGAGAGGATTTGTAATTATGTTGCAGTGTAATTCTTACCAGTACAATGAATACACGCTTAAGATTAACACATAAATCTGTTCAGTTGTTAGGATTATTTAAAAAGAGCCTTCACCAAATCCAGAGCACTTTGTACTTGGTCTGTATCCAGAAAAAAAACAGCCCTTCATGACCTTTTTAAATGTCAAAAACCTAAAAGCAACATCTTCTGGATGAAAAAACCCAAAATGCTGTCCACTACAATAGAAAACAGACAGCATATGAAGAGAAGGAGAGACAAAAATATTTTCTAATATGTAACAAATATAATATATAAAATACTTTTTATTATATAGTGTATATATATTTAAATATTTCTGTTAAGTGCTACATATTTTAAAAATCAAATTAAAATATGCTAGTGACATCTAGTTTCAAAATAATGTATCAAATATTTAAGATATTTTCATCACTCTAATGTATTACCACATAATTTGACCTGACTCCTCTAGGTGATGGTGACCAATGTAACATCGCTCCTGAAGACTGTGAAGGCTGTGGAGGATGAAGCCACCAAGGGGACGAGAGCTTTGGAGGCCACTATTGAACACATCAAACAGGAATTGGCTGTGAGTGTGGGATAAATGTTTCTTTACAGTTTAAGCCAGTTGGAAATACCCTGCAAAGGATTCAGTTAAAACACAGGAGATTCCTCCACAGGGGCCATGGCCATTTCCTAACCCCTGTTTCACAAGCCAGTGAAAAGCTTTTAGAATAAGAACCCTCATCTGCATAATATTAATATCTCCCAGTTCAAAACTTTTCAGGCAACTGCCATCTCAAAGATTTCTTATGGCAGCAAGAAGAAAGTTTTGACTAAAGGCCTTGGTGTTACATAAAATAGCTTTTGGGACCACGTGTCCTGTACCTGTCATGAGGTAAGTAAATTAATGCACAAGGAAAACTCACTAACATTCAACCTGGTTTTATCACATAGGTCTTCAACAGTGCTGATCCTCCAGCAAAGACCACCACACCAGAAGAGTTCATCCGCATGACTAAAGGAATCACAATGGCAACAGCAAAGGCAGTGGCTGCTGGGAACTCTTGTCGTCAGGAAGACATCATTGCCACAGCTAACCTTAGCAGAAGGGCCATTGCTGAGATGCTGCACTCCTGCAAGGTACGACAGACCATGAACTACTAAATAGTGTTTGTTCATGGGCTGCCAAACAAAGTTCAATGTGCAGTAATTAATGAGGTCTCAGAGAATAGTTTGGTAGGTATTTTTGTCATAATGACAAAAAATATATACATACAACTTAGACACTATAATATTGGCATTTCCAATATTCAAATTACATGGGACTACTTATAATCACATTATAATCACACTTTCTGCCCTTGCTATCACTGACTGACTTTTCTTACTGTTTGCCTTGCAGCAAGCTGCCTACCACCCAGAGGTCAGCAAAGACGTGCAAATGAGAGCTCTGCGCTATGGCAAAGAATGTGCTTCTGGATATCTGGGATTGCTGGAGCATGTATTGGTGGTAAGATGATATGGAGAGCAGTGAATAACAGGAATTTTAAGCCTCTGTCATGACAGCATTTACACCACAATCACTAGTACCCTCAGCAAGGAGAAATGCATAACAAGCACCTTTTTCAGAAATTCATTCTGAAAGAATATAAAATTACAGTAAAAAAAAAAAATAGCAACGTCTAGACTAAAGATGAAATAACTAGTAGATCAGTGTTCCAACATCCAGAAGAAGCAACTGCTATCACAACTAGAGATTGATGAGGTACAAAACAAATTCTACAGCGAGAGGGAGCCAAGACATCAGGTCAGGGGGGAGATTTCATCATTCCAACCCTCCAATCTCGGAGAGAGTGCTAATGGATGAGGCACGAGAATGGCTAACTAACTAAATGAAGAGGTTTTATCATAAATTCAATGGGGATGAGGTGAACAGCACTAGAGACCAACTTCATGCCAATAACACAAGTATGGTATTTACTGAGGAGTTGCTCTGTCCCCACTGCTGTTCTGCATACGCCTAAACCCCCTGAATGAGATCATTCATGGGACTGGCTATGGATACCAACTACAGAATGGCGCAATCATGACTCATCTCTTCTACATGGATGACATGAAGCTGTATGCCAAAGTGAATGAGACATCGACTTACTGCTAGGATTTACAGCAATGACATTGGAATGTCATTCGGACTGGACAAGTGCAATTGGATGGTAACAAAGAGAAGGAATGTAGTCAGAACTAAGCGGATTGCACTACCAGAAGGAGACTTTTCAGACATTGAGGACAGCTGTACCTCAGGAGAGAAATCTTCTAATCGGAAGGTTCGTGCTTTGCTCCTCGGCTGCTGCAGTCTGCATGCCAAATATCCTTTGGCAAGACACTCTCTGGTGAATCCATGAATCCATCAAAGTAAATATGCGTGTGAATTTTGGATAGAAAGCATTTTCTCAGGAAAAAAAGAGAAAAACATACTTATATAAATGGATGTGAATGGGTAAATGAGGCAAGTTGTATAAAGCAATTTGAGTGCTCAGGTACAGTAGAAAAGAGCTATATAAAAACTAGTCCACAGCTTCAAATAGAACCTGGGTATCCCACAGGCAAATGGGAACCATGAAGAGGCCACTAGGAAAGCTGCAATCATCAAATACCTGCAAAGAGCAAGGCAAGCCCTGAGGAGTCAGCTGAAAAGGAAGAACAAAATCTGAGCAATCGACACCTATGCCGTGCTGGTTGTCAGATATCCTGCTGGAATTATAATATGCCCAAAGGAGTAGATAGAAGCCACTGACATCAAGACAAAACCCTCCATGCGTATAGGGTTTATCCCAAGTCCTGCAACCTGACACTGTACGCTAAGGGGAAGGAAGGAGGCTCATGACTTGAGTGTCAGAACCACTATCTAGGATGGCACAACATAGATCCCTGAGTATATCGGGAAGTTAGTCTAGTCTTGCTACACAACACAGTATAACTGGAAAAATGTAAACATACAGAAATAAAGTCACATCTTGAATTTGAATAAAGAGCACAGAATTGTAATTTTACACATTTTTTTGTTTTAATTTTATGCATGTTTTCATCTATCCGCACTGCTCTTATTGCCCCTGTACTTGATGTTCATCCAGATTTGTAGTTGAACTTTACTAAAAGGTGATATGATACAGGCTCATTACTGCCTTACTAGATAGTATCTGTAAAGCTTAGATATTTGACTCAAAGGAGAGTGACGTATGGTGCAATGTAATGTCATCTACTTTGATTATCTTAGCATTAGTTTAGTACAGGCTGGGATTTGATTAATTCAAGTACATGCAGTATAGGAACAACAGGTGAATGAAGCAAAGTAATAAAGTTTGTGACTTTCTTCCTTTATACACAGATCATCATGAAGCCATCTCATGATCTGAAGCAGCAGTTGGCCAGCTACTCCAAGCATGTGGCAGGCTCCGTCACTGAGCTTATCCAGGCTGCTGAGGCCATGAAAGGTATCTAAATCTTTGATCTTTAACAACTTTGCCTGAAGTTAAAGGATTAATATATAGCACTGTTTTTTTTCTACTGTTCTGTAAAGCGCTATACAAATCCAAGTTTTTAGTTGTCATTATTATTATTATTATTATCATCATCATTATTATTAGACACTAGATGGTATAAGATCAGGTAGTTTTGATTCAGTCACTGTCTGTGTCAATAGGGAGTGTCAAATAGGAAACCTGTGTGGCATCCTATAGCCTCAATTTGCTACATGCCACCTAGTAGGTAAACACTGCTACTAACTAGGTAAACCCCTTATTGCCCATAGGATTCTAGGTTGGGGTTGATGGAAGAGTTTAAAATGTGTTTTTGAGCACAGAGTGACAGTACTCTTTTTTTCCCCCGTGTCTTTTAGGCACAGAGTGGGTGGACCCTGAGGATCCCACTGTCATTGCAGAGAATGAACTGCTGGGAGCAGCAGCCGCTATTGAAGCTGCTGCCAAGAAACTGGAGCAGCTGAGGCCGAGGACTAAGCCCAAGGTCAGAGGGTTTTTTACAGAGCACAAGTATTCACACTGATCCTGTTAACCTCAACACCAGGTCACAGTCATTTTGTGTCTCACATCTCTTATGTGCTGACAACTACTCACAACACAGATAATGGCAGCACCACAAAGCTTATTCTTGACGCTCTTAATACTTTTCATACTTATTAATTTATTCTTCAAACCAATATTTCCTGTAGACAAGCCCTATTCATTTTTTGTCTGAATATTTTTGTCTCAGCCTCTTCTTATTTATTCTTGCTGTCTTACTATTTATATTTAATTCCTGCACAGCTGGCATGGGGAATCCATAGTTTCAGTGTGCATGTACAATGACAATAAAGAGCTAGTCTGTTCTATTCTACAGTTAATCATAGTGCAGCATTTTTCTTTACTAGTGGTTTGTTCTCTCAAACAGGAGGCCGATGAGAGCTTGAACTTTGAGGAGCAGATTCTGGAGGCAGCCAAGTCTATTGCAGCTGCCACCAGTGCTCTGGTAAAAGCTGCTTCAGCAGCACAGAGGGAGCTGGTGGCTCAAGGGAAGGTATGTGAGAACCAACAAAAGAACTGATATGTGCATTTAAACATAAGCGAAATCCCACAAATAAAGCTAATAATCATTTCTATCAAGAAGTTTAGTAACATTCATTCATAAATGTCATTATGATGTCCGTCAAAAATAATTATCCTGGATTTTCAGGTGGGGGCAATCCCAGCTAATGCCGTAGATGATGGACAGTGGTCTCAGGGGCTTATTTCAGCTGTAAGTCTCCTGTTATAATTTCGTAATTTTTTTTAAAGGTATTCCTAAAACATCTAACCACTGAGAACTTTGACTCCATAGGCTCGAATGGTCGCTGCAGCAACCAACAACCTGTGTGAGGCAGCAAACTCTGCAGTACAGGGACATGCCAGTGAGGAGAAGCTCATCTCATCAGCAAAGCAGGTGGCAGCCTCCACTGCTCAGCTGCTGGTAGCCTGCAAGGTCAAGGCTGACCAGGACTCACAGACCATGAAGAGGCTCCAGGTCAGCACTGCATGTTAATTTTTCTCAAGGCGCAAAAACACAGGAGAGCTACTATTACTTCTGTTACTGTGCCACTTTAAAAGGCCTTATTTGGCTAGATGATGAGGTCAAAGTCACAACTGTCAAGAAGAGACAGAGTGTGTGTAGCCAGCCCGATAAATGAACATAAACAAAAGGACAAGGAAAGATCAGTTTCACATTTTGTTTGTTCTGCATGAAAAAAAAAACATTATTTATAACACACTTAACACAACTGGAGAGGTAAACATGACGTCATGGGTTATTATGGACAGTAACTTAGGAAGCGGGAACCCAGACAAAAGTGGTGCACAATGGTGAAAAGATGTTTCAATCATGGCAGTTCCTTAAAGCTGTGCAGCCTTTGAACCATGTGTGAAATGACCCATTTAGCCAGACCCCTAACAGATGCATTACAAAGCTAAGTGACTGTCATATTAAAATAGATGTAGCTGTGGTAGCATTTTAAGATCAATTTTAAGATAAATAGCTATGTAGTCATCTACATATTTACAAGGATATCACTGAACTGTTTGTATTGAGTTTGTTTTAGCTTGAGCCATTTTCTCAAGACTGAAAAGCAAAGAGTTAGGTCCAAAATTAGATCTGACATGGGCAAATTCACGGTGAGATGTGTGCTCGTCATCTCTACTTATGATTCCAACACTACAGTTCTACTGAAGGGACAATAACATTAGTCATTCTGCAACAGCTGAGGCTTTTAGAGAGCACACAGTATATTATAGTGTATTAATAGGCTGGAATTTCAAAGTTTAGGGTTACAGGTGAGCTGCATGATTTGTACAGCTGCTAACAAGGATTAGCATGCTCTATATTTGGCACAAGTAAGAATGCCCTTTGCATATTGCTTTCTTTCAGTATTTATTAAATGCTGCTCAGAGATGTATTTCTTTCTGTGACATCATTGGGTATATAATTTCAGAATGGGCAAAGCTCCTGCAGAGTCGGTGTTTAAGGCTCAGAAATTGGTTATATAATGATAGTAAAGCATTTTCACAGGTTTGGTATAACAAATTTACCCTTGTGTAAAATTAGTGACTCTTTAAAAAGATGTAAAACCTTTTTCTTCATGTTCAAACTCTGCTCAAAAGGGTTGTTATGACCTTTTAGGTGTAACTGATGCTCGGCAGTTGCAAGACATAACAGAAAGTACAAGTATTTCCTGTCACTTCATCCACCCAAAAATACTATCTTTGAGTGTAGCTGTGAGCACATCGGCCTGCCAGCCCAACTCATATTCTCTGATCCAATCAGCAGTGGCTTATCTCCTCCTCTTTTGGACCTGCAGCTGCCACCACAGTAATTCTCATACATTTATGTCTACAAGAGCTCTGGAAACAATCTACCCAGTCCACACATAGCACTAAGAACTGGAAATATTAGCCTTGATCTATGATTACACTAGAACCATTTGCTCTTAGCTATATTCTGTATTAATGGTTTCTCTATTAAATGTTTGAATATTTCTGGAAAGAAGGATTTTTGAACTCTTTTTTTATTGCAGCCAGTAGTTTGGGGATAACATAGTTAATATTTTATGTTATACCACCTACAAAAATCTAATATTTCATATTAATTAATTTATAAGAAGAATCCTCGCAATCATATGCCACAATAACATTTTCTGTTAGCAAACGAATAAAAAGTCACACAGCATAATGTCCATTGATGCTGTCTGCAATGTTGCCTTCTTGTAGTTCAGTCTTCTCAGTTTTGACTGCTTTACCTCTGGCATCACATAGCACTTCTCCTGTCCGAATGACATTCCGATGTCATTGCTGTAGATCCTAGCAGTATGGATTAGTGAGTCCATGTAGAGGTGTCTAATGATTCTGTAATTTGAAAGCAAGTTCCCACTTGACCACCTCAGAATTAGATGAACAAAAATGAGCTGTGTTAATACTAAAAATGTATTTTTAGTTTCAGGTACTATAGTTACTAGGCTTAAATGTTGTGCTTTTTAACTTACCTTTGTTTTTCTGTCATTTGGACATCAGCACAATGCAAACTGCACATCAAGCACTTGGAACTGCCTAATGTAGCCATGTTTTTACACTTGCAAATATAGCTTACGGCTGTAACGTTGAGAGACGTTGTTCTCTTGGCTTGTGTTGTTGTTGTGGTGCCACTCAGGCTGTTAAAGTTGCGAACATTTCACCACAGCACTCGTTTCCATTGTCCATTTGCACTACATCACCTGCAGAGGAGGCATACAATAATTGCTCAATTGACCATGATTGCTCAATTGGTCATGATAATTTGCATATTAATGATCAAGGAACTGGCCTCACAATCCATTGTTCATTAACTGGGCTAGTTTCATTTATTGTGCAAAGGTACTGTTTATAAGGTTGGGGAAACCTGCAGTTAGCTGAGACTGAAGAAGTCACTTGGATGATACCGAAACATTTCTCCCACTGAAAACGTTACGTCCAGATGAACAGAATCTTTTTTTCTTTTTTTTTGGTTTTCTTACTATGCTCATGCTCCCCATTTGGGAGGATGTAATTTCAAAAGGTGGGCTCTGTGTGAAGGTACTGAAAGTGCATCAGTGCAGTGGAAATTGTAACTGCATGCCTCCAACCAAACTCATTAGCCAAGGCCACAGGCCACGTACCTTAAAGATTTCGAGATTTATCTTCATGTCTTTAGGGCTAAGGTTTGGGAGTGACATGTGTTGCACCTCATTCTTCTCCTTAAGGTAACAGAATTCATAGACATAATATTTTGTTTTATGCATTGTGCCTACATGATGATATATGATATTTAGACAATCAGGGAGGGAAAAGGGCTCCAAGAGAAATTTTCTGTCTGTGTGGAAGTGGATGTTCCTGGATTCAAACAGATTTACTGTGTTGTTATTTAATTATTTTTTCTCGTCTCAGCCCACTGGCTGATTCAGCCCACTGAGCCTCAAAAGGAGAAACCTTGTCTTCATTGAGCCAAGTTGCCCAATAAGAATTGTTTGGCTTTGACTGATGTTTGGGACTGATCCTTGTTGCTTTTTATAGCTTTCCTCCTGTGTCAAGAACAAAACAACTGTTATGGTTTTCTGTCAGAGCCCAGTTGGACTCATTACTGCCTTTCCAGGAGTTGCTGTTTAGTAGAGAAAGGTTGATGACTCTGTTCTACATGCACCTCAAAGACTCAAATCATAGACCATTGGTTAGACATACTGAGTGTCTTTTATACATTTCTTTTGTAATGTTTTCCATCTTTACTCAAGTTTAAAGCCTTTAAGTTGTGATTTGACTTGAAATCGTGTGTGTGTTTCTGCAGGCTGCTGGAAATGCTGTGAAAAGAGCCTCTGATAATCTGGTGAAAGCAGCACAAAAAGCAGCATTTGAAGAACAAGATGCCCAGGCTGTGGTGGTCAAGAGTAAGATGGTGGGAGGTATTGCTCAGGTAAGTTAGAGATCCAAAGCACATGTTCTACATGTAACTTCGCCTTCAGTCTCATTGTGTGTTGTAAACTCATTTGTGTTACATTTCTATAATCGTGATAAAGCACTGTCTCATGTGTATGTGTGACTGTGAAGTGTAACAACTGGGTAGCTCAGCAGAATAGGACTGAATTAGAAAAAGGGAAACTGGAAGTACTGACCCAGGATGGGCATGTGGCTCAGCTGTACGCACCGCTGTTTTATAGGAAGAAAGGTCAAGTTCATATCTTTTGTATGGGTTAGGACTTAAGTGTGCAGAGGTCTGGATTGGGATCTGTTCATCTGACTTAAGTTCAGTTTCATGTGTGTGATTGTGAAACAAGCGTTTCTTAAGTGTGGTGACATGCTGACCAATTGTGTTGTGTTGTAGATCATTGCCGCTCAGGAGGAGATGCTACGGAAAGAAAGGGAATTGGAGGAAGCCAGGAAGAAGTTGGCCATGATCAGACAGCAGCAGTACAAATTCCTCCCGTCAGAACTGCGGGAAGATGGCCAGGAACAGTGAGAAAATAAGTGTGCGTCTGTAGCAGCATGCAGTGTCGTCAGCAGAAGTCATCTTTGGAATGATAAGGACCTGTTCTCAGCTCATTTTTAAGTGAAGAAAACGATAACATATAACTATAACTGTAACATTAAACAATCTGACTTCAATTCCACAGCAAACTGTTTCACATTTAGTTTCAAAAGTTAACAATGACGTTCGTAACGCTGATTAAGGTATCTGTACTTTTGATTATATGGTTACACGCCTATCAGTATATTTTTCTCTATTTTGAATTCTTTTTTTTCATCTTTGTGTGTACATGCTGTGTAAAATGGCAGTCACGCCATTAAATTATGGCGTGACTGCCATTATGACGTGCCAATGGCCTTAACTGTCCTAGATATAGATATCTTATATAGGCAAGCAGAATTAATGCTTCCATGACAATTATGCAGAATCTATGCAAATTTTATATACTGTGTGTGCGTGCGTGTGTGTGCTGGTATGCGTGTGTGTGTGTTTACAGACAAAGTGCCTTGATGTATAGGAGTTCATTGTGAAAAAGAGATCTGTGGTTGTATGACAGTAATGATATTCAATATGTTAATTGACGTACTGGTTAAACTTAATATATAAAATTACACATTTTAAATCTAAATTGGGATAAAATAATTATACAGTGGAAAAAATCATAGTGTTTTTTTTTACGACCTTCAGAATATGTTAAAAGGATATCCTCCAGTACATTGCTATGTTTTTCTGTGTGGGTTTTTGGATTTAACCATCTACAGTATTTAGCCAGAAATCAGACTAGAGGACTCATTTGTGTTCAAATTATGAAGCCATATATTTAATTTTTAAATATTTGAGATTGTTGCAAAGAGTCCAGCACTGTCAGGATTTCTTTAAACAAATAAAGTGTTTTAAATTTATACCTTTATGTATTATGTACCAGGGACATGGGATCAGCTGTAAGTTTATATTTGTATCCTAAGTTTTTAGTACTTTCTATGTAACATGACTTTTGCTTGATGAGGATCTAGTAGAGAAAATTATGAATTTATTTTTGCAATTACACAGTGAAATAGAGTGTATTTGCAACAGGAATATTTGACATTAAATTGACTGTATTTGGATTCTTAGTGGTTATTGACTTGCTCCTATGATATGTTATTTGTGGGATTTTTCTAAAGAATTCCTATAACTGAAAAGGAAATGATCTGAGGTATATATTGGCATTTTATATGGATGAACACAAAAATAGATTATAAGATAATGATTAAAAGCTGCCCTTACGTTGGCCTTTTTTTCTTTTGCATATTATTTGCATATTATTTTTAGGATAGCTAGAGCAGTATGCAGTATAACATACAAAGGCTTTTTAAAATTTTGTGCACATTTTGACTAATTATAATGCTCATTCACATTAGTACCGATGATGGACACTGTAACTGTGATTTATATTCAATAAAGACAGTGTTTAAAGAGATGCTGACATCTGTTGTTTAACAGTTTGTTTGTCCCAACATAGATATCATGTCCCTAAAAGGTGAAAACTCAATGTTACACAGTGGAGAATCTATAACACAGCTTGCATTATTTTCAATAAATATATTTAAACAAAATGTGTTTGGAACTATATTGTCTATTTATTCTTTCCCCTCACCCTCAACCAGTCAGAGACTGCTTATGCTAGATCTGCTTTTCCTGTTAAAACTTCTTCCCTTCATCCTCCCTACCATTGCCCAGTGCTTGTTTAAAGGGCTTCTTTACATTACAATACAAAACACCTTTAGACAATTGTTGTGAACTGAAACTACAAAGTAAATAAAGCTGAACTAAATGGATATTAGCCACGTGTCTCACTAGTTACCTTATTGCCTCTAAATAGCAGTAGTGATTGTATAGCTCACAAACCTGTATCTTGTAGGGACTAACACATTGTTAAATCGTCTCACTTTAACTGAAATCATCACACCCCACTGCACTACAAAGCCCTTGTGGGGACTTTCTCAACTCTGATTTGAAAGTAGGACCTCCTCATTTATACAGATAAGTAGAAATAGAGACTCAATAAAAATAAATGCTTTGGTTTAGCTACCAGTTTTCCCAGATTGTAGGTATGTTATTACGGTCTTACACTATAACTGTGTCCTTCTGTTTACGCGGTATAGACTTTCTCTCTTTGTGTTTTAACTTTAATTTTTGGATTTTTAGGTTTTCAGTATGTACATCTTCACATATGACCCATTCACTTGATGGTTTTTTGTTTGTTTGTTTGTTTTTAATTCATCGCCTTTAATATTTTAATTAGTAATTTTCGGATTGGTACTACTTTTTTCATCTCGAAACGTTTTAGATCAGTGATTTGCTCTGTTACCTTTGCTGATGTCCCAGTGGGGGATAGTCTTGATTTATTCTCACATACTGAACACACACGTCAGACAGCCTGCACAACTTTCAGTGCCTAAACATGGTCAACGATTCGTACGGATCCAAAGTGGGAGAAAAAGAGGAGTGCGTGGGCTGGTACTGCTGTCATTCCATCCTCTCTTGCTCTCTTGAACAGCTTCACAGAGACCCTCCTGTTCTCCTGTCACGGACCGTTGCCTGTGTCTGTCCCGAAAGCTGGGTGCAGTTCTCTTTCTGTTTAGCTCACAGACACTGAAGAAACATGGAGGCCATCAAGAAGAAAATGCAGATGCTGAAGCTGGATAAGGAGAACGCTATAGACCGGGCAGAACAGGCTGAAATAGACAAAAAAGGAGCAGAGGACAAATGCAAACAGGTAAAGGAAGGACCTACGCTGCACCTCGCAGGCAACTCGTTGAACACTTTTAAACGTTTCAACGTAAACATAATGAAGGAAAAGTTATGAAATAGATACCTTAAAATACACACAGAACCATATAAAAATAACTTAGAAGAAGTGCTGAAAAGCAAAACCCGACTAAGTTTTAAATGGGCGAAAGGTCTGACGTGAAATGCACCTTAAGAGATTCAATGCGTTCTATACCAGTTGATGTTGATATCGTCCTGTTATCATTTACCCGCACCGCACATACATAACTCAATATGTAAAATGTACTGTAGCTTTTGGCTGCTAAAGTTGATTTTCCTTATCACTGTTTGATGTATACTGCTGACACTTCTCATTCAGGATATTCTTTGCTTGTGGCTTTATGTTTTGGCATTTAACGTCAATGTTTGGCACTGTCCATAAAAAAACGAGTCTAAGACACTTTTTGCTCTTTTATTTCACTTTTTTCTATTTAGTTGTGCTCCCCTTTCTTTTCTTTTACTTTTTTGAGCGATTTTGTTTTCCAGTATTGTATTTATTTTATTGAGCTCTTGTATTTCAATTTGATATAGGTTCTGTTTAATGTTTCGGCTGCTGTGACACAATAATTTTCCAAATGTAGAGATAGTTAAAGTATATCCTGTATTATCTTTATTTTCACTTGAAACTTGATATTTACATAGATATACTTTATGTTTATTTAAAATCGGGGAAAAGTGCACAAATATTATAACCAAAATGCATTTTAAGTTTCCAAAGTGAGAGTATTTCTTATATGCTAAAATTATTCCGTGATGGATAATTTTAAAGGGTGTCTGCTTATATCGGATATCACTGACAAAAGCTGCTTGTTCTGTAATTTAACCTGATCATATACAGTTCAGCTCAGTCAGTGACAAGATCAATCTCTCAGGTTTGAAAAGACGATTATATAATATGATATACAGTTAAATGTATTTATATATAACTACAAAACTAAACATGACAAGTAACTACAACTAAAAAAGCAAATACAAAATGTCTCTCTTTTTTTGTTCAAAAAATTATAGTGAAATACGTGTTTCAGACTTTTTTTTAATTTTTAATTTGATGATTAAGGTTTAGGAAAATCAGAAATCCAGCATCAAATTATTAGAGTATTATTTTAAATCAATACAGAAACATCCAGCTTCTGAAATGTATGTTCATTTACACTTTATTCCTGGTTGGGACTTCTTCACAACAAGTTACTGTATGAGTGCAGTACATAGAGGCAATCAGCTTGGATAGATTTGATGGTGGCCTTTAGCTTGTCTGTGTTTTTAGCTTTTGTGTTACTCATCTCTTCCTGTTGACAATACCCCACAAATTGTTTATGAGGTTCAGGTCAGGTTAGTTGGCAGCTATTTCAGTACTATAATAACATGGACAGCAAACCATTTTGTAGGAGTTTTGGCATTGTGGACATGTGCTAATAAGGAAATCAGTATTTTCATAATGCTTGCCAACAGATAGAAGCACAAGGTTTTCTAAAATCTCCTGGTGGACTTCTGAGTTGACTCTGGACTACAACAAAGTGGACCAATCATTAACGCAACTTCGCACTAGACTTTAAGACCTTGGGTTCTGTGCCTCTCTACTCTCAATGCAACATTTATTTGCATCTGAAAAAGAGAACTTTGGACCATTAAGCAAAAGTCCATTTTTTCCCCTCTTTATCCCAAGTTAAACGCTTCTGATGCTCTCCCAAGTTCTTGAATCAACTTTTCTTGAAAATCTTCTTGAGATTGAAGTCATACCTCTTGCTCATGACTTTTTCCTACCACACTTTTCCATTCCTGACAACTTTCCATTGATATCTTTGAGACTGTTGTGGTGAAATGAACTGAATGAAATAGTTATTTTTTCTTGAGAAGGGCACATCAGATTATGGCATAAGTTAGCACAGTGTATCAGAAGTGTTTGCAGTAGTAATATTTAAGGCATAGCTTTAACACCAAAGTGGAATTTAACTGTCAAGCTTCAGTGACAGAGCATTGAGGCCCATCAGTGTCCATTCTATTTCTTTCTTCTTCTTTTTTTTTGTAGATTCAATTAAAGCAAGGAGAACAGATGATGTTTTTCTGATAGCCTACTAGTAGCAAAGTTCCTAAAGATATACATGTAAACTGATTCTTTGATAAGTTGTCTGTTATGTGTAGACAGAACACTTAGTCATAAGTGGCTTAAAAACAACAACAACAAAGAAAAGTCACTGAAAATGGTAATTTACAAGGACTGAACTGAAAGTGACTGAAATGCACCAAAAGCAGTCTGGCTTTCTGGAAATCAACAGCTGCAACGTTGAAGCGATATACACATCAACAATTATGATTATGAATTATGCTATCAGCCAGATTTAGATCTGACCCATCTATGTCAAAATTATGTCTAAACAACAAATATATCAATTGATTTTCATCTTAAAATTTGAAAACTGACTTATGTACTTGCAACCTGCTATAATTTCATAAGAATCAGAACACTGTTCATTTTAAATGTCTGAAAAGGAATGTTTGTTGGATAACATGATTATGTTCTCTATGTACATTGTACAAAACATTTTTAGACTACAGAATGTTTAAAACCAAAATAATATACCACACCAGTATTTAAGCACCACCACCAATATTTAAGATCCCATTCTGTGGTCCCAGTTAAGATCAACTGACACAAGATGTGAGTGGGCGTTAAGGCACCTGGGAAGGGAAAAAATGGATTATAGATGACAGACAGTGGGTGTCACAAGCCACCACCTCTGTTCAAGGATGGTCGTTCACAGTGGACATAGATTGTTGGTGTATTGAAAACCAAACCCCAACAATCAGACAATCCCTCATTACCAAACAATTGAGAGTGGGAAGGAAAAACTCCTTTTAAACAGAAAGAAATCTCCAGCAGAACCAAACTCAGGTTCTGCCATCTTCCATGAGCTTTTGGGGGATGAAAGGAAGGAGAAGAGAAAAATAACTATGGGAGGCAAAGAAGTACTTATTGCATAACTAAAGAATGATTCACTATCACCTAATTCATCCCTAACTATATGCTTTATCAAAAAGGAAACTCTCAAGTAATCTTAAAAGTACAGAGTTGGTTCCACAGGAGAGGGGCCTGATACCTGAATGCTCTGCTTCCTATTTCCCTTTCAGAAATTCTAGGATTCACGAGTAAGCCAGTAGCTCACAAAAAATCAGTTTACTCAGTCTACATGTGATTCCACTATTTTCTATTCAAAATTGACTGCTTTTTCTAACTCTTGAACACATGAGAAAATATTCATATTTTATTGTTTTGAGAAACATCCGACAACGCAGTGAAATTCCTGTATGGCTTATAGTCTCTCTGGTGTAGTTCTATTGTGTATTTTCTCAAGATCACATAGCAATATGTTAACATTCAACTATGCAACCAGCTACCATAGAAATTATTCCCAGGGGATACCAGCTTGCTATCACCATCAGCTCTACCTAGAACCAATGAACATTTCCATTTATATTTCTACATCTAAGTAACTCACCTTTGAATTGTCACACTTTTTAAGAGTCTGTCAAGGCTGTTGTCTTGGTTACCACTATGACAGGAACTATAGGACTGCCAAATGCTATATGTGAGTATCAGGCCTTAGATGGCTGTGAGAGGCTGTCAGAAGAGATATTTAAAGCACATTTGTACTAGGAACACCGTTGTCAGGCCACATCACTGTCATTTGCAACTGGCTTTTTATAGTCTTGAAAGCTTCTGTTGGAAAAGGGAATCTGGTTGTTAGATTCAGATTTACCGTTGGGGCTTAAGAAAAAAGTGTTTTCT